ACGTGCATTATAACAGTGAAATCCAGGAACGGGATTTCACACGGGTAGTGGCCCGCCCCGGGCCGGGATTTGACATTTTACATATACTGGGTATATTATTTTTCTTTTTTTAAGCAATCTAACATTTAAAATTTTTAATAGTAGGTGCACTATTTGACTAAAATGTTTTTTTTTAGGTAAATATAATTTTATTGACTTAATTAAGCATGTATAATAACGTATATTAGACATGTTTTATGTTATTATATATTAGGCAATGAATTTATAACATCAATACTTCCTTTTTTTGTAAAATTATTAATTCTCCCTTACCATCTATCTGCATGGCATATAGGGTTTATAAAAAAAAAAATCAAATAGGGGTATTTTAGGCATCCGAAATTTTTTAATGTGTGAAGTCAAACATCATTAATGAATTTGCTGATGTGGAATCTAGTCAATTAGTTTTATCCAAGAGCCTAATAAAAGCCTACTTAAAAAAACATTTGTACACTACTAGTCAATTTTTAAATTTAATTTAATATATATATTCACTAATACTTAAAAGTTTATTCATACTTTGATTAAGTATAACATAAGATTTTGTGGTATCCACTAGTGTGAATATTTTAAATTGAAAATCGAGTTCATTCATTGTATTCATATAAGGTCAAGGAGTGTAGCTGTTAAAAATCATCAAAATCGGAGTTAAAATAACCGTTAAATCATGATTTTTCGTTGATAACAGTCGAAATTTTTTGTCCCGTGACTTGATCTCTGAATTGTTGTTTTTTGCGATTTTTGGCGTATACAATCTCGAAGCATATACAAACAAGTTTGATGGTTGGATCGTTGAAATTAGTTTCGTAGAATGCGTATCCCATCAAAACGATAGATTCACTAACACTTGGAGTTTATTTATACTTTCACTAAGTATAACATAAGATTTTGTGGTATCCACTTGTGTAAATATTTTCAATTTCAGATTGAGTTCATTCATTGTATTCATATATGGTCAAGGAGTGTAGCTATAAAATAATCATCAAAATCGGAGTTAAACTAACCGTTAAATCGTGATTTTTTCGTTGATAACCGTCAAAAAAGTTTTGTCCCCTTACTTGGTCGCTGAATGTTTGTTTATTGCGATCTTTGGCGTATCTGATCTCGAAGCAAATAAAAACAAGTTTGACGGTTGGATCAGTGGAATTAGTTTCGTAGAATGCGTTTCCCATCAACACGATAGATTCACTAACACTTAGAGTTTATTTATACTTCCATTAAGTATAACATAAGATTTTGTGGTATCTACTTGTGTAAATATTTTAAATTGAAGATTGAGTTCATTCATTGTATTCATATAGAGTCAAGGAGTGTATCTGTAAAAAAATCATCAAAATGGGAGTTAAAATAGCCGTTAAATCATGATTTTTCATTGATAACCGTCGAAAAGTTTTGTCCTGTTACTTGATCTCTGAATGTTTGTTTATTGCGATTTTTGGCGTATGTGATCTTGAAGCATATACCAAAAAGTTTGACGGTTTGATTGTTGAAATTAGTTTCATAGAATGCGTATCCCATCAAAACGATACATTCATTAACAATTAGAGTTTATTTATACTTTCATTAAATATAAAATAAAGCTTTTGTTGTATCCACTTGGGTAAATATTTTAAATTGAATAACGAATTCATTCATTGTATTCATATAGGGTAAGGAGTGTAGCTGTAAAAAAATCATCAAAATCGGAGTTAAAATAACCGTTAAATCGTGATTTTCCATTGATAACCAGCGAAAAGTTTTGTCCCGTCACTTGATCTCTAAATGTTTATTTTTTGCGATTTTTGGCGTATGCGATCTCGAAGCATATACAAACAAGTATTAACGGTTGGATCGTTGAAATTAATTTCGTAGAATTTGTATCCAATCAAAACAATAGATTCACTAACACTTGGAGTTTATTTATACTTTCACCAAGTATAATATAAGATTTTGTGGTATCCACTTTGTGTAAATATTTTAAATTGAAGATTGAGTTCATTCATTATAATCATATAGGGTCAAGAAGTATAACTATAAAAAATCATCAAAATCGGAGTTAAACTAACCCTAAAATCGTGATTTTTCGTTGATAACCGTCGAAAAAGTTTTGTCCCGTTACTGGGTCGCTGAATGTTTGTTTATTGCGATCTTTGGAGTATGTGATCTCAAAACAAATAAAAACAAGTTTGACGGTTGGATCGTTGGAATTAGTTTCGTAAAATGCATTTCCCATCAACACGATAGATTCACTAACACTTAGAGTTTATTTATACTTTCATTAAGTATAACATAAGATTTTGTAGTATCTACTTGTGTAAATATTTTAAATTGAAGATTGAGTTCATTCATTGTATTCATATAGGGTCAAGGAGTGTATCTGTAAAAAATCATCGAAATCGGAGTTAAAATAGCCGTTAAATCGTGATTTTTCGTTGATAACCGTTGAAAAGTTTTGTCCCGGTACTTGATCTCTAAATGTTTATTGCGATTTTTGGTGTATGTGATCTCGAAGCATATACAAACAAGTTTTGACGGTTGGATAGTTGAAATTAGTTTCGTAGAATGCGTATCCCATCAAAACAATACATTCATTAACACTTAGAGTTTATTTATACTTTCATTAAATATAACATAAGATTTTACGGTATCCACTTGGGTAAATATTTTAAATTGAAGTACGAATTCATTCATTGTATTCATATAGGGTCAAGGAGTGTATTTGTAAAAAAATCATCAAAATTGGAGTTAAAATAACTGTTAAATCGTGATTTTTCGTTGATAACCGGCGAAAAGTTTTGTCCCGTTACTTGATCTCTGAATGTTTATTTTTTGCGATTTTTGGCATATGCGATCTCGAAGCATATACAAACAAGTTTTGACGGTTGGATTGTTGAAATTAGTTTCGTAGAATTCGTATCCAATCAAAACGATAGATTCACTAAGACTTGGAGTTTATTTATACTTTCACCAAGTATAATATAAGATTTTGTGGTATCTATTTGTGTAAATATTTTAAATTGAAGATCGAGTTCATTCATTGTATTCATATAGGGTCAAGGAGTGTAGCTATAAAAAATCATCAAAATCGGAGTTAAACTAACCGTTAAATCATGATTCTTCGTTGATAACCATCGAGAAAATTTTGTCCCGTTACTTGGTCACTGAATGTTTGTTTATTGCTCTTTGGCGTATGTGATCTCGAAGCAAATAAAAACAAGTTTGACGGTTGGATTGTTGGAATTAGTTTCGTAGAATGTGTATCACATCAAAATGATAGATTCACTAGCACTTGGAGTTTATTTATACTTCCATTAAGTATAACAGAAGATTTTGTGGTATCCACTTGTGTAAATATTTTAAATTGAAGATCGAATTCATTCATTGTATTCAGATAGGGTCCATGCGTGTAGCTGTAAAAAAATCATCAAAATCGGAGTTAAAATAACTGTTAAAATCATGATTTTTCGTTTATAACCGTCTAAAAGTTTTGTACCATTACTTGATCTCTGAATGTTTGTTTTTTTTCGATTTTTGGTGCATGCGATCTTGAAGCATTTACAAGTATGTTTGAAAGTTGGATCGTTGAAATTAGTTTCGTAGAATGCGTATCCCATCAAAACGATAGATTCACTAACACTTAGAGTTTATTTATACTTTCATTAAGTATAACATAAGATTTTTTGGTATCCACTTTGTAAATATTTTAAATTGAAGATCGAATTCATTCATTGTATTCATATAGGATCAAGGAGTGTAGCTATAAAAAACCATCAAAATTGGAGTTAAAATAACCGTCAAACCGTGATTTTTTTTGTTGATAACCATCGAAAAGTTTTGTCATGTTACTTGATCTGTGAATGTTTGTTTTTTTCAATTTTTGGCGTATGCGATTTCGAAGCATATACAAATAAGTTTGACGGTTGGATAGTTGAAAATAGTTTCGTAGAATGCGTATCCCATCAAAACGATAGTTTCACTAACACTGAGAGTTTATTTATACTTTCATTAAGTATAACATAAGATTTTGTGGTATCCACTTGTGTAAATATTTTAAATTGAAGATCAAATTTGTTCATTGTATTCATATAGTATCAAGGAGTGTAGCTGTAAAAAATATCAAAATCGGAGTTAAAATGACCATTAAATCTTGATTATTCGTTTTATAACCATCAAAAAGTTTTGTCTCGTTACTTGATATCTGAATATTTGTTTTTTGTGATTTTTTGCTGATGCGATCTTGAAACATATACAAACAAGGTTGACGATTGGATCGTTGAAATTAGTTTCGTAAAATTCGTATCCCATCAAGTTCGATGATATATATATATATATATATATATATATATATATATATATATTTATTTATTTATTTATTTATTAAGTAGATTTAAATTTATTTATTTTAAATGTATAAGTTTATAACACTTGAAAAATTAAATGGTATGTATATTTAAGCCAATCCAATGGTCACCAATTTTTAAAATTAAATTTAATATATATATTTATAATTATTATAGTTTTTAAGGGTATACAATTGTTAAATTAATATATATATATATATATATATAATTATAGTATTTTTTAGGGTTATAAAATTATAAAATTAATATTTTTCTTATCGTGTACCGTGTTACCCACATGTATACCCGAACCAACCCGTTATCTTAACATATGCTTATCAGGTTACCCGATAACGACCCGATTCGTTTATCGTGTCAACCCGAACACTTGTTAATTTCGTGTCGTGTCGGGTTATCAGGTCGTGCCAGGAATTGTCAGGCCTAGTACACACACACATATATTCTGTTTATTTTTAGTTCTTGCATTTATATTTTCATAGGTGGTTTTTTTTTTTTTTTTTTTGGAGAAATACATTATCATATTGTATTATATAACACAAACACTTTTTTCCTTCAGAGCAAGCATGCTGGATATATAACAAAAGTAGTTAAATTGGGTTAAAAGCTGAAACAAGGAACGTCTCCGCTAGAAAGTGGACCATATTGTATAGTAATGCGACAAATAATCAATATTGTTCATCACATGTTTTATAAAAGTGAAGCCCTCATTCACATGATTCCCAACTATTATTAATTAATACATATATTCTAACCATCACCATCTAAAAATTGTTTGAAGCTCGGGCCCGCCGTGATAAATTTCAGCTTTATCAAATGTTTCCAATTGTTGTGACTTTATAGAATGAGCTTATCGATCGTCACTTGCGTCTTGAGTTATTGAGTTTTCCATATATATTAGTAATTTGAGACGTCACGGCAACAATAAACTGGTTTCACTTAAATTCTCCTTTTAGTATGGACGTTCATCCTCATAGTTACCAGGAGGATCATAGCTGCAGATGACAAAAACCCAATTATTGTCACACTTGACCCTTGCACATCCAAGATGAATCGAGTTGCGCCAAACCACCTGAGTATAATGTCCGCATTCATCACCAACACACTTATTGGAGGCGTAGTTATAGTTGGGTTTCTCAGTCACCCAAAACTTCACGGCTTGAGCACCGGTCATTTCTCCATAGCCTTCAGCCAAGTTCTCACCATAAGGCCCTCCTGAGTGCTCCATGTCACACCCTCTCACTCTTGTATTGGCATACTGCTGAGCATAGGCTGCTACAGTGTCGTTCCATTTGATCGGACCGACACCAACTGCTGCCCGAGCTCTGTTGTGTTCATCGACGAAGTCTTGGTGAGGGTTAGGGGGATAATAACCGACTTTCCGGGCTATGGAGGTATGAGCAGCTAAGATTAATGCTGTGGAGAATATGCATAGTAAAAGGTTACTAGAGTACCCCATTTTTCTGTATCTTTGTGTAAGATGCAGGTGGGAATATCAGAGGTTGGTCTTAACATAAATGGGACATGGGATTATGGTATTTATAGAGAGAAGCTTCAGTCACAATAATTTGTTTAACTAAAGAGGGCTAAAATAGGAATTTTAAATAAAATTATTAAAATAATTTTTACTTTGTTAAAAGATATTCTAAATTCAAATCTCTGGAAAAATATATGTTGAATAATATAAAATAAATTTTGTACTTCACTAACTTTATCCCAAACATCTTAATAGATATCGCACCTAATATGATCAAAATTATTACTTATTCTGAATAATTTAGGGTTTTTTGGTTCAATATTGAATAATATAAGTAGAAGTAGGCTATTTCAACCAGGTGAAGTAGGCTCAAAACTAATGATGCTTGCACAAATGGACAGCAATAACATGGCTAACGTGAAGGGGTTGCCGGACTTTTGCACCCATTGAAGACGACCCCACATTTCATCCAATTAACCAATAATCTCATGCAAATGATATTGATTAGTTTTGGAGGGAAAAAACAAAAAACAATAACCGTTTATTGCAAATAACTAACAAGTTAGTAGTAGGGTTTTTTTTTTTTTTTTTTTTTTTGCTGCTTAGCGTAGACGAGAGCATATATACATCGTGATATTTGGTCGTCGGATTCTCAGTTATTTGGTTCTTGATTGCACATTCATTGTTCATTCACATATACATGCTATGTTTTGATAGTAGTAGAAAGGTGCATGTACTCTAACTGTGCTAGGACATCAAATCTATTCACTTTTTATTCTATAAGACTACGTGGTGTTTGTTCTATTTAAATTTGAATCTAACATTATGAAGGGTCAAATTTTTTATAAAACAAACGATATTTCTACTCTAAATTACTCTAAAGAAAGAAGGGTTCAAACTCAAAACACAAGTTAAAAAAGAAAGGCATAACTACAAGGCAATCCACTCCTTGCATTCAAGTTATTATTTATTGTTTTAATATATACACAGCCGTCCCAAATTTGTGTTTCTGTAAGTCTTCAACCGAAACATTATGCAGTAGAGTCAAGGGAAAGCATGCGTAGAAGTTTGAAGAATTATCAATGATATACCTAGCTAGCTAGTCACGATTATAATAGTATAAGGTGGATCATGTGAATTCTCTTATCACTACTCACTATCTTATGGCCAAAAGCCAATTCACCATAGAACATAGGGTGCTTGTCACTATAGAATTAGAAAATTTGGTGATGATCACTGTTGGCACTACATTATCAGATCCGGCAATTTGTGTCTCTTGGCTTACAGTGAAGCTGATCTGGTCTTTGATTGAGTCTCTATCTCTTGTTTTCTTTAATCAATGAGAAACAAAAGATTTGAATTTCAGAATTTTTTTCACCATGAGAAAGAGAAATTCGACTAAACCAAGAGTTAGTTATCAACCATCGAATAATCAACAAACCACTAGTTAAACTGAGAGCGCAACAAGAGAAAAGAAGAAAAATGTCTGAGTTTTGTATTCATGTAATCTCAGCAACACTTTTTTTTAATTGAAAAGGATGGGGGAAAGGAAGAGGGAGGCGTTATTCAGTTCAATTTTAAGTTGAAGAGGGGAGGGAGTGGAGAGGGAGGGTGCTGAGCCTGTGGCCATGTGGTATGTGTTGTTTATTTTCATAATTTTTTTATTTATAATTTTTTCTTTAATTAATAAAAGTAAGATTGGTTTTAGAAAAGTATTGGGGTGAACTTGGATGATCATGATGTATGAATAGAAAAACTCTTCAAACTAAAGCATGCTTGATTTACAAGTAGAGAAAATTTCGGACATCATATCATGGCCACTTTTGTGCAACCAGACCTGGATTTATTTTCCTTCCTCCCCATTTATTTATCATTTATAGAGTTGAAACTTATGGTAAAGTGATGTAATGAAGGTCACGGAATCAACGGACAACTTTTTGCGGAGCTAATTGACCGCAAATCCAGTAATTTTCTGTCAAAAGAAGAATCCTTTTGAATTTTGATTTCCCATAATTATAGCCTCGCCATGTTGATGACTTCATGATGTTATAAATATTAAAAAAAATTAACACTGTGTTTGGAAAAAAAATTTGAGATTACTAACAAAATGACAGAACTAGAAATGAATGAATTTTATTTTCTAAACTTTGTGAATTTTCTTATTTGGTTAACTAAAAGGACAATGGAATTTGTATATGGAAATTTTTTTTTAAACACTCATTCATAGAAATATAAAAATGACACATATTTACGTGAAATTTAAACTTGAGAATTGTATGTCTCAAATTCCAATTTTTTCTTTTTCATGCGGAAATTCTAAATATCTATGTTTATGTTTCCAAATAAGGAAATTGGTTTATATCTATGTTTATGTTTCCAAATAAGGAAATTGGTTTATGTCCATTTATAAATCCCAACTTTTATTAAAATTTCAAATTTATTTCTCTCATCCAAACCCACGTAAGTTGCATATTCTTTTCTTCTTCTTTTTTTTTTCTAAGGAGAACGATAGCACTTTGGTATACCATTAAGCAAGGGGAAAGCTGGTACTATATTTGGCTTTGGGTTTAGAATTTAGTCTTTTCTTGCTACAAAATACATTAAATAGGGACATGAAGGGGAATGCTGGTAGATATAGAATGGAATGGATCAAAGCCACAAACCAAAGAGTACTAAGAGAATATAGAAAGGATCAAAAGCAAATAATTCAGAACTTTTCATCATAGAAGACTTGTTGGACCGATCACAGGATGCTGTATCTCTATTCTTTTTGGCCAAACACCTACATTTTTTATTTTTATTTTAGTATTATTAAGGGGAGAGTTTAAAACTATTACAATAATAAATTGGAAAGTTTTGAATCCGGAACGCATGAATAGAAACCCAACACCATGTTCGCTAAGATATTGGACCACATACATTGGTCAAACAAATACCTTCATGCGTAGATTTTTGACATCAGAACCTCCACCGTTCTCGAAATTTGGCCCGACCAACCACCTAGAACTCATATACGCAACCAGCCAATCCCCATTCAATAAAATTAAAAAACACAACAAAAATAAACAAAATTCTGAGAAAGGACTCACAAACAAGGCAGTTAGTGAAACCCAAATCCTAATTAAGCAAACAAACAACCTCCTTTCGCTATCAATTCAATCTCGATGAGCTTAGAGAGCAAGGAATTAGACCAAATAAAGAGGACCTAGATGAAAATTTCAAAGTGATCGAATCAAAAGAGTAAAACCCTAGAAATAACACTCCTAAAAGGATCCAAATATACATGCCTGGAAGGGAGGCGGAGCAACCCATTACGAGCCTATGATGTTAGTCAATTGTGCCCTTCAAAAGAAATATTTTTACCCATTAATCTAACAACATTTTTGTAATGTAATTAGGGCTGGTTTGGTTCGGCATACTGAACCAAAAATCAATTAAAAAATTACTTAGATAGAATTTTGAAAACTAAAATCGAACCAAAATTTCAATTTCTTCAAACTTCATTAATACTGAAATTTTTTTCGATTTATCGGTCCAGATTGGGACTAGGGCATCAAGCCCAAATTGTTGGCTTCTAATTTTATCTTGATTTTGGGTTGAAATTTGGTCAACCCAATTTTTTGCTGCTTCCTGAAGTGTATCAAATTCGTGCCCAATTCCAATTCATACCAATTCCAATTCCAGTTCATACCAATTCCAATTTCAATTCATACAACTTTTATAGTCACTAGCAAACTACTTAAATTAAAAATGCATGCAACCAAAATGAAATAAGTCAAGTTACAAACCAAAAGTAAAAAAATTAAGTTACAAACCAAACTTCCAAATGAATTTAAATTAAGTTACAAACTTAAAAACTAAAAGTTATGTTCTCTTCAGATTAATAACCCCAATTCAAAATTAGAAACAAGGTAGCAAACAACACGAACAATCAACCACATATTAATAACCCAAATTTTTACAATTGCAATACCAAAAATAAACACCATACTGAAAAGCAACACCAAAAATCAACCACATACCAAAATCACAATTGCATGCAATAAAAACATAACATAATAAAAAACCTCAATTCTCCCAAACCCTAGAAATCGACCAAAGATTAATAAATTTCAAATAAAACCCTAGATTTTGAATACCAAATTTAAATTATTGAAAAATCATAATGGACTTCCAGTCTTGTGGGAGAAAACCCAAATTCCCAAAAAAACCCCTAGGTTTTAAGGCTCGAGCGTCGCTCGATCGAGAGAGAAAGTCGGAGTGACATATCAAGCGTGTGGACTGGTTTATGGTGTGGTCGAGAGAGAGGGTGTTGTGTGTTTAGCCGGAGTCGAGACTCGGAGAAGGTGGGTGGAGGACAGGCAAAGTCGAGTGAGAGTGTTCGATAGACCTGAGGCTGAGTGAACTCGAGACAGAAAGTAAGGGAGAATGAGAGTGAGGTGAGAACTCGAGAGACCTGAATTGGTTTGAACTGTTGAGACTAAACCTAAACCAATATAACAGGTCACATAATTAATAAGTTAACATTTTAAAATGAATAGATACATTTTTGGCATTCTTTCTACCCTTAAATGTAATCATGTTCGCACATAACATTCCACCTGACAATATAATATGAGTCCGTAAAAACCAACCGTGTTACAAAAATAACAATGTCATTCAGTTTGATTGTTATAACCTTACCACTTAATTGGAACCTTGAACTATAACCGTTGGCAATTGTAGGGGTTAATTACACTAACACCCCCTGATATTTATCTTGTTTTCACAAAATCCTCTCATGTTTGATAAATAACACTAACACCCCTGGAGGTTATAATTTCTTTCACATCACTCCTTAATTATGTATTTACCCATATAATTAATTACTTTAAAAAAATAAAAAAAATAAACATAGAAAAAATAAAAATAAAAAAGCTTTCATAAATTTAAAAAACCATATGGATCTTCTTTCCCTTCCATTTCCAGCCGCCATCTTCCAAAAGGAGCTGCCACGAAAAGACGACTCCTCTCATCTCTGTCGCTCTCA